CATGATTGTAGGAGCTTAATGCAGACGGATTGATTCAAGCCGATGACAGCGTAAGTTCTCTATCAGCACTCCAAGGATTAGTGTTATGAAAGTGTGTGTATGTGCGCCTATACTGTGAAGAATGACTGCATTGCACAACAGTGAAGTGAGCACCGAGCACGGGTCGGATTGCGAGCTCTGTACATCCATCATTTCAGGGTGGACGAAATCGTGAGAGACAACAACATCATTGAATAATCATGAAAACATATTGGATGACTACCACGCTCAGCTTCTACTGTGTAGAGAGCGGAGAACGATCATACTATCTGGAGACCCGGCTGTTTGTTGATACGTATTTATCACCCATAATTTAATCCTTACCTGATAGAGTGGATGCGATGCTCTCATCATACTTATTGGACAACGATCGGAGAACATCTATCTCCTCATAACCATCTTTCACGAAGCCATGTCTCTGGTCTACCTTTTGCGGATAACCACTTCCGACCACTTCCGACTGTTGCATCCAAGCAAAGCCGGGGCGAATATCGTGGCACCTCCCCGAATCTCGATCCTAACCTTCCCGACGATCATCTATCAACCATGGCAATGCCTCATGTTATGAAACGAGACAGTCTAGGATAATAGACCATGTTCATATCCCGGCTACTAGGTCACACTCACTGAAGCCTGGTCTTAGCTTCTTGCAAATTGGAGCCACCCTTTGATCGCTACGCGGAGATAGTGGCGAGGAATTGAACCTTCACCAATCTTGATCCGCAAGAGCTTTATCGTCACTTACACACCCTCCACCTCGAGGATCAGCAGACGACTATTCCCCAGCACACGCAATCGAGCTTTCATCATTAATTTGTACTGGATCACAAGATACTCCGAATACCTTCCCAACTCTTGACCTTCCGAAATACACAGGAGCAAACGCACGATCAACTGCTCATTGTGAGGGAGGCAGAATAATCGAGAATTGTCGTTCTCACAAGATCATAGATTACTCAGAACTATGACAAAACCCTTTGTGCCTATCAGCCTCATCTTGTGGTTTCACGATCAACGAGGATGGTCGCAAGTCGTCTTCGTTTCGTTTGGAATCCTCAGGGCCAAGCCAGCCAAGTACGGCTTTATCCTCTAAAATATCGCGTTGTTCAATCGGCTAGAAGATCTTCCTATCAGTGTGGATAAAAAGGGGCGGACTTTTGGCCTAGTTTGTACCCTGAATTTTACCGACTTCCCGTATATTCCCTTCTCTGATACCTTCGTTACCGTAATAATAAAAAATCTAAAGCTATAGAATCAAAGAGTACGCTTAACTTATTAAGTGTATTTATTCTCTGCAAGCCCGGATGCAAGTTGGGGTTGATATCACATGAAAGCTGTTGCTGAGAAAAGTCCGCCTCTTTTTATCCACACCGATAGATCTTCCCCCACATACTGTGGTAGCCGGCCAAAAGAAGGTTAATTGGCGGGTGTCACCACGTCCCCCATCTTCTCCCACTTAACATATAAGAATAATCATAATTTCTATATGCCTGAGTAGCGGAGAATAAGAAGAATATAATCCCTTTAGACCGAAGTGAAAATTACGAGAAATTATAAAGAGACGGAAGAAAGACGACCGGACGCACTGGCCAAGACAGGGGTCAGAATTACAATGTAACATTCTTTTGGCCGGCTACCACAGTACTGTTACAGTATGCACTCTGTACAATGGATACTCGATTTTATGGGGACCTCATTAGATCCTCGTGAAGATCTCATAACGACTCTGTGGACTCTGACATTTGGCTGTCGTGGCCTTGGAACTTCAAGCGAAGACCACATGCGTTTGTCCTCGATTATCATTAAACCACAACAATCCGATAGTCGCTGACATTTTAGATAAACCAATATATGACCCTGGGGTCCAAATCATACTGTGGTAGCCGGCCAAAAGAAGGTTAATTGGCGGGTCTCACTACCTCCCCCGTCTTCTCCCACTCAATATATAAGAATAAGTATAAATTCTATATACCTAAGTCGCGGAGAATAAGAAGAATATATTCCCTTTAGACCGAAGAGAAAATTACGAGAAATGGTGAAGAGAGGAGAGAGAGACGACCGTACGCACTGGCCAAGACAGGGGTCAGAATTAACATTCTTTTGGCCGGCTACCACAGTACATCTGTTTCTTGCCGGGCACAAAGCCTCGCAGTCGCATTCAATATCCCATCAGAAATGATCGACCAGTAAATTCCGCTCATTAAATGCTTCGTTATTGCGCAATTGTCCTCAAGGATAATTATATGAGGCATTATCTTGCTCCGTCACCAAGTATGTTGCGCTTGTGCATCGATTCGGGCGTCTATCGAGAGATCAAATGAATGCGTCACAACCTAAGAGCTCGCTTGTAAATTTGATTTATCTTTTACTATTTCATCAATTTGGTCCTTGGAGGGATTTTCAAGCAATTTTCCTTGGCTATTGTATCCCAGTGTAGCCTAGCAGCCTTAGTAGGCTTTGTACTAACCAGTCGGATGATGCGACCCATGCATAATCAACAATGCGACTGTCTTGGCTTTAGATACCAGTCAAGACGATCGGACCGTCGCAAAAACCAGAATCAACCTCTGTATGAACGAAACTGATCTCAGAACCACGTAGCTAACGTTCGCAGCCCGTCATGAATCGCTAACCCGCACATTTCTCGTGCTCAGAACGCTCAAGGGTATTCCTCGCCACTAGCAAAAAATAGAGTTCATCTTTCAGGAAGGTGGAATGTTAAAGCTACAGACCCCAATTTCGGCGGTTTCCTCTTTCCTGGGCACCGACAGTCGCCTCTGCCCAGTCGGAAATTTGCCCGTTCTTCTCCCGGAGATCCTATTATGAAGCATGTAATACATCCTTCAACAGCACGTTGGAAGACTTGCCATCTATTAATTTGATGCGTTTCTCTTCCCTGACGCATAAGTACCAATCACCAAAGATATCTTGGCGCCGTACGTTCACATCATGCGTTTCTCTTCCACTGTCACCCACACGCTCCAATTTACCTTCCTCCTCGCAATCGTCTCCTTTGCATGCGACCACTACAAAGATTGCTGGTGTGTAAAGACCAAGACATTTAAAGGGGTAAATTACACTGCCCCTGATAACCTCTACACAATGTTAGCATGTCGAGAGCCTGCACATATCGAGAATCATGGGACACCTACCTGGAATTTGTGCCACTTCCTCAGGAAATCATTGTTGGTAACCCACTCTATCAACAACTGCGATTGGAGGGATCAGTGTCAAGCCAAGGGTGCAGACACAGGTTATTGCATGAACAAGTCGTAGTTTGGCTTTTGAGAGCGGAAACGATGGAACGAATGGAATGAAGAGCTTCGGAATCGTGGAGAGGTGCGGAGAAAGGATTGGGATGATGGACAACGACAAGCTTGGGGTTTCAGTTCTTGGAGAGGGAGACTCGGGGATAGTGGCGGGATGGGATAATTATCGTCAAGTTTGAGCGAGACCGGACTCAATGCTGAACAAGGCAGAGATTTCGTTTGAGGGAAACCATGGGGAAAGTCGCTGGTTATCAAGAGAAGCACTCACGATTTGAAAGAAACACCCTTCAATGCACCAATATCTCTTCCAGCCTACAAGCCAGAAGTCCGGGTTCCGACAATACGAAATACTTGAGGTGTCGTCCTACAGCCTTCCTCATTCGCCGAATCGACAATTTCATGCATCACGAGTGAACAGCAGTTCGAATTTGTACCCGTCTCGATGGAAAGAAGTACCAACGCAATGAAAGTGATCGTGGGCTTGATGAGCGTAAGGAGAGATGTTAAAGCTTGAAGCAATTGTAGTTCACTGTTTTAATCTTCCTCTTTACCTGGTCAACAAGTTTTGATGTATTTGTTGCCGAAGCTTTTAATTGTAACGCTCTGGGCTCTTGTCTGTGTGAAAAGCTCGCTATTTGATTCCGCTTCGCCTGGCCGGTCTCAAATTCCGCTCTGACATTCATATCGAACACATCATTCGTGGAAACCCCCCGAGCCGTAGCGGCCATACCTTTCCAGTGTCAAGCGTGAGGCGACGGGCATCCTCCGTGGTGATAGCAGCAGCGAATTCATAGGTATGATTTGAAGCTCCGTTGTCGGTAATAATGGTATGTGTCCAATAGATACCTGGACATACCTGAATGACATTCCTTTGGTCAGTCGCATAGGAACCGGGGTAGTGTTTGTCTTCTTTGTCCGCACCGAATGGCAAGCGAGGGGAGGTGTCGGCGACTCGGCCGTAACTGTGAGGGAGGAACGTGATGAGCAGACCCTCGGCATAACGACGGGAACCATTGATTCTGACCAAGGTTAGCGCGAAGAACAACATATTGGACAAGATCCTCAAGGTTGAGCTTACTTCCATCACCCGCGCCTGCAAGACCTCCAGCTTCGTTTCCGCAATAGTCGAGCCTCCCACATTGTAGTTTTTCGTCATCGTGGTGCTGGCATCAATCCTACCAGACTGAAGAAAAAAAGGTTTCGAATTTCTTTCCGCGGAAACCACTCCCAGCTCTGTATGGATCAGGAGGGTCTTGATCTCAGAACCAAAACCCAAGTTTATCGCGATTAAGAGGAACGACCTGATATTTAGCAACAATTGGAAATGGTCGGTCACATTATGTTAGCAACGCTATTCGCTGGGAACTTTTTCCAATTATAGCATCGGGACGAGGCTGAGTAGACTCTTGAGCAAACACTTGCATACTGCCGCGTATTGAGCTGCAAATAGCCCACCGTCGGGGATTAAACAAGTAACATGCTAAATCGCATCCAGTCACGCTAAGCTAATGAAGTGAAACGTTACTGAGCGTCCCACAAGGCTTATCGATTAGATGCACACACTTAGCCAGCAGTCTTCACCGGTAGAATGATTTGTTTACAAATCCAGGATGAAAATTGGAACCGCGATTGAACCACTTGACATTGAGATATATCAATTACAATTATGGACTTTCAACCCAAGTTGACAACGGGGATGTGGCTCAGTGGTAGAGCGTCCGCTTTGCATCGTGTAACGTGCGGAAGGCCCAGGTTTCGATCACCTGCTTCTCCAATTCTTTTTGTTTTCTTCTACTTGGCGACCAAGTAGTAATATTTTTTGTCTCGCTTTGTTTGTTTTTGAAGCTTTCGTGGATTGAGAATTCTTTCCACACTGACCCTGGAACAATCCGGCGAGAACCCTCATCCAGAATTCTTGAAATGTTGGAAACGTGAGGTATGTCCAACAAAATAGAACGCACAAGATCTATTCAAACAAGTCACTTAGTGACTGTTGGAATTTCGACGTAGCGCTAAGCAACATGTAATGGCATGCGTAAAGGAAGAAGAGGATAGTCACCACTAGCGACGAGCAGATGAATAAAAGTCAAGCCGCTGCATATGGCTTATGATAGGAATGAAGACGCCATCTATATTTTAGTATCTCACGATGACCATATCTACAGCTTAAGTTCTTATATTTTTCAATCTGCTCTCACCCAAAAAACACTCGGGATAACTGACCAGTCTACTACTCTTCAACAACTACCGCAGAACACCCATGACCTGAGCTTCTACATCTATCCGATCGCATACTTTCCTCGAACAATCCAGGTTGTTAAAATTCATGCTGTCCCGCCTTGAACAGATAAGTAGATCAATATCATTCTCCTCCAGACACAATGCCTCAGCTCGTTGCGGGAATGCAAACATGTCTTCACAACGCGACGGACATGGTGATGATATGCTTCACCAACGAAAGAAGTTTCCACCGTCATCCTGAGGATACAGTTTCGGCAGAATCTCATAAGTCCTCGCGACATGCTGATTATAAAGTCCATTTTCAACCTTGGAGCTCAGTCTCAATTGTCGGTAGAACGGAGTAAGCACTTCTGGGCCTGACCCTATCAAGCTTTCGCGTGGTAAGCGTATCCGCTTTTGTGACTTCTGAGTACCTGAGGGTACTGGTCAAGGAATGTCCCGATGAAATGACCTCGGCGCTTTGGCTGCGAGGCCGCTTGTTTGGCCAGAAGCGGTGGATATGGGTTGAACGGACGTGGGTTAACTATGATATATCATACAAGAGCTATCAATGTCGACACCATCAATTAAATCTCTAGTATCAGAAACTTGCATGATATCGCTTGCCGTCGAATGTCATGGGTTGATTATGACTGAACCATGGGATGCTACATACCCTTTTAAGAATAATAGCTATGATCAAAGCTATCCTAGGAAAGATGGCGACGATGGTACATTCCATCACCATAAATCGATGAAACTCACTAGCAAATTGTATGTGCCAATAGCGGAACATCTAGCCAAGGATATGTGGAGAGTACTCTTCTCCTTCCTAACTTTGAGATATGACCGCTGGATCTACCCGCTGTGAGCTCAGGACTGCAACGCACATCAGATGTTCGTTTTGTAATGGTCCTTTCTCGTGTTCTCTGGATCGTCGTGATACTGATTATATATGCAATTGGTCCTCATTTAGTGGAATGTAGGCTGTTGCGGCTATTTGGGCTAGGAGCAGCCTATCGCAGGAAGAAGGAGGGAAAGACCCGGACTTTCGTCATCGAAATCATCATCACCGCTTTATTGGACAAGAGTGTACCTCTAAAGTCCGACTGCGTACACATGATCTTCGTCAATAATTTAGAGGCCTCACTGATCAGAAAGGTCTGCCAACGAGCTGCTATTCGAGACTTTGAAAAGACTAAATAAAGCGAACTCGTCGACGGTGAACCTGTTGTACGTTAGCCGAGTTCCACATCTTACTTCAGTACTCGTAAGTCACGCGTATGCTGGTCAGCGACGGACGCGGCATACATTGAGAACGTAAAAGCTTCAGCTGACAGTCTTGCTGTTGCTCATCACCAGATCCTTATAAGACAGCAGCAAACCTCTCTTAAGCTGAGTTTGTCTTCATAACCATCGTATATGATCTGGACTATGCTCGTTCATAATCAAACGCCTGTTGAGGCGATGGAACACTGCAAAAGTCAGCATACGACATAGTCCATCACTTTGCAATTTCACCATCAGCGTGCAGCTTTGTTCACGAAGCAGACGATTTTGATGTACTGTCGTATGCTGCGAAAAACACATCCAGCGCTTGCTATATTTAAAACAGGAGGACAAGGTACGTAGCGAGGGTCTCTGCGAAAAAGCTTTCGTTGACGGCCTCGCAGTCTATCGTCTCAAAGCTCTACAGGGCGACAGCACAGATTTTCTGTGGATGGAGTTCGGGCTGGCTGCAGCATCGACGTCAGTTATCAGAACGGTATCGATTCTGCCAGTGCAATTCTGCCCGGAACGTCATGAAAGGTTATGTATGATGGAACACATCATCTTCAAGTCCATGATTCATGGTAGTTGATAAATGTGACGTGACTGCTGAGTCCTTTCTGGTGATAGCGGATGGGTCATCGCCGCATACCTGCGTTCCTTTGATCAACTTTCAAGAAGTGGCCGATGATACGAAATTCTATGACTCAAGTTGGAGCGCGATAATTATAGAGCAAACCATCGTCTGCATTGTAGTGAAATTTTTCTAGCCTTGTCAGTGATTATTCGAGCTGTCCTAATGAGCTAGAGGCCTCAGATATCAGCATGTTTTTTGAAACACTAATGGGCGATAATTAACGTGATGCAAAGATGAGATTCTTGGATTGCTTGTTCGTCCTGCCTGGCAATGGCGAGGACTCGATCTTAATTCTTTGACCTGAGCTAGTCCAGAAGCCTGAAGGGTTTTCCTTTGGCTATTCGGATTTGCTTCGAGGCGAACTGAGCATATAGCGACAGCCTTGTCCGAATTCAGGTGCCGCTCCTGATGCCCGTGTCATTCCGGTCTCTTCAACCATCTTTCTTCCTGGATAGTCGTCGCAACCTCTCTGAAATCCCTTCCTTCTCATTGTTGTCCTCTGGTTCCAAAGCTCATTCCTCAAACGATCTCGACGCCTTCTTCTCGACATAAAAGCCGGGATCTGGTTTCCTGTTTGCCTTGATCTGAGCCTTTGTCAACCTTTCCTCGACCTCCTCCACGTCAACCAACTCCTTGACTTTCATGATTTGACCAGCAACATCAGAGGTGACAGGCATGAAGACGGTCTTCATTCGTCTGTTGAGGCCGAGAGCTGCGAGGACGCCGCGGGTCTTCATAGGCAGGCCGATGCCCGAGCGGAGGAGGGTAATGCGAAAAAAGGGCATTGCCGCGCTGATTACCAGTTAGAAGGATTGGCCGTGCGACGGTGTTCTGCAACATACTGCTGATGCCTGTTTATGAGTGTTGAATTTCTGCTGGTGGGCGAGTGGTGTCCCTGAGGGCCTGAAGTCACTTTAGTTTCTGCCAAGTCATTCACGACCGTGATTCCGCGCCCGTAATGTACGCGTCAGGGCGTGCTCCTACATTTATCCACCGCGAACACTTCGATTGACGAACAAAACAATTCCACCTGCGTCTAGAGATTGGAATTGTGGGTTCCTCGCGCGCCATGCCCCAAGACATCCGCAGCTTCTTTGGTGGCAAGCCTGCTCAGAGCAGTCAGCCAGGCAAGCCCGCAAAGAAGACAGAGGTGAGGAGTCCCGATATTCTTTTGTCTTAAAACACCTCTTTTCCGAGTCACTATTACTTCAGAGTCACTTCTATATGCTAATCTGCGCCAGACGCCCAAACCTCGAGGCAGACCTTCAAAAAAGAATACGGTCATCGAAGATTCAGATGATGATGTAGTCATGTATGCATACCACAACCATTGTGAAGAGCACATAGCTCACATCAAGTAGAACCAAAAAAGAGCCGCCGAAGAAAGCGACACCGAAGCAGACCAAGTATGCAATTCAGTCAATTGTCCATTCGTTGGCATTCACTCATGGGATACACTAGGAAAGTGGAATCACCCAAGGCCACCGAAACCACCACATCCGACTACTTCGGCTCTAGCAATAAGCCCAAACGATCAGAACCTGTCAAGTCGAAACCAGCTGTTAAGCTAGATCCTGCCACTCCTCCCAAGCCCAAAGATGCTGCTCCTAAGTCGAAGTCGAAACCTGCCCCGAATGGAAAGGCCACGCCTCTCAGAACAAAGAAGCCCACGACGACGTACTCAAAAGCCAAGCGCGAAGACGATTTCGCTGATGTCGATAACGACGATGATATATTCACGGCCGATTTCAAGCCCAATGCTCGTGTAGATGACTACGAAGAAGGCACCGACGAAGAGGAGGACGTGCCGAAGCCGCGGAAGCAGTCTTTGGGTCGTGGCAGAAACGCGAAAATGATACAAGATCCCGATGACGATGACGTCGATATGAAGGACGAGGATTCGGAGGACGACTTTGTAGTCCCAGATGAGGAAATCGCGGAAATAAAAAAGGCTTCTAAGACGACGAAGAAGGCACCAGCTGCCAAAAAACGGAAATCGCCTATATCAGAGAACGAAGAGGAAGAGGACGAGCCACCTAAGAAGACAAGGAAAAAAGCAACGACCACGCGAGGCCCAGCAAAGAATAAAGCGAAGGATGATGCGCCAGAAAGCGCCGAGATGCAAGCGATCATGGCTAGCATACCGACAGTCAGAGCTCCCACGCCCCCTCCACGAGACGAATCCAAGAAGTTCAACTTCGCCGCAAATGCTTCTAGCCGAGATGCTGCATTTGCCTCTGGAGGCGCTACTGATCTCCCTGAAGGTGCCCCTAATTGCCTAGCAGGTCTCACATTTGTGTTCACAGGCATTCTCTCTACCTTGGGACGGGAGGAAGGACAGAATCTAGTCAAGCAATACGGTGGAAAGTGCACAACGACTGTGAGCAAAAAGACGAGTTTCGTCGTACTGGGTACCGATGCAGGACCGAAGAAACTCGAGGTCATCCGCGACAACAAATTGAAAACCATCAATGAGGAGGGACTGTTCGCCTTGATAAAATCACTGCCAGCCAATGGAGGTGATAGCAAGGCTGCTGCTGCGCACGATGAGAAGTTGCGGAAAGAGAAACAGAAAATGGAGGAGCAGGCAGCAGAGGAGGAAAAGGAAGAGAAACGCAGGGCTAAAGAAGCCGAGAAACTGAGGCTTG